CCTCCCAACAATCGGAATTGAGCAACTAGGGTTATAAGACGAAGAGTAGTGGGAGTGACGAAAGGCGTTGAGTTGGTAAGACTGGTTCAGGCTTTATTGGTAAGTCCTTACGTCAGCATAATCCATGCTCATAGAGACCGGGACCCCACCAAGACGCCGGCCTGTCATCGGCGAGGTGACCGACCAATTCCGTTTCCGTTCGAGCCAATCTCTCGCAATTTATGAAGCGGTAAAGCTCGTATGGTAGGTAGATATGGCCTTATTCAGACCTTATCTAGGCTTGAATTCACATCGTCGGCGTTGTGCGGGGCATGCAAGTGCGTTAAATCCGGCGACTTCAGAAACCAGCTTATCACCACCGTGCCATTTCCGATATTCGACCATGAGGGGCTGCTGTCTATGCATACACGTGCTGGCCAAGGCTTAGAAACGAGCCAATTGTTGTCCGATGATGATTTACCTTTTATAAAACCCTATAAGAACGGCCAGATCGATTCGTTTTGTTTTGACTCAGTCCACCTGCCCTGTGTCATTCCGATCTTGTCAGCATGGATTCGCCGAATTTCAAAATAACAAAGCCGGACGCCACCCAGATGGCAGCTCAACCGTCGAACTCGGTGTCCACCGTTGATAATGATTTATGCGGACAAGATCAACCCTCTGGTGGACCAGGCGACACGGACCAGAGCAGGGACCCGACTGTAAGCGAACGTTCCAGCCCAAAACAGGCGCTATCAACTACGAACGAGCGCCTTTCTGTACGTATTCCTGATTCAATTTTCGCCTTTAAGTGTAGTGCTTAGATCTCATATAGAGGCGCAGAGACCGGAACCGTATGTCTCAGTCCGCATTTGGGGATCGCAAGGGCCGGCATATTAGGGACATCCAAGATAAAATGGAGAAATTGGAACAACAAAACAATCAGTTCCGAAAGATCCACGAGATCCTCCGGGTTGCGCAACCAATTTTGCGCGCAGATGATTACACAAACCTCATAAACATGGATGAAGCTGTGGAAGGTGATTGTGAAGATCTGGGTGCCACCGACGTGTCAATGGAAGAAAATTCAATAAGGTCAAACATGCCAATATATTTGAAAGAATCTCGACAAGAACCATGGACTGGGTATAATAAGATGTCGGCATCATCAACTTGTCAGAAGTCAATAGATCGGATACCGCAGGGATTTATGGGCCGAAGTGGGATGTTATGCTGGCCAATTTTGCAGACCTCAGATGATGGCCGTGGGATCTTTGCTACTGGGATCCCATGAAACGTGTTAGAGGGAGTCGGCGTTCACGCCGTCTGCAAGTTACCTGTGATTAAGGTACTTGAATTACTCAACAGAACCCCTGAACTAGCAGAAAAAATTGAACTGCTTGCTTTCAAAACGAATCCTACCGAGTTGCGAGTTTCTTAGCGTTCACTTTCTCATTATGCAGAGCTCTCAGTCGGTGAATATTGCGATTGACGCTATCGTGAAGCCCTTCAAAGGGGTATTGCTGGGACAGGCTGTTGATAAGAAGGAGGTTCAAACATCGGTGGAAGCTGTCCCATAAGATGGACAGTACCGATTCGATCTTTTGGCTTGTATAAAAAGGGTTCAAGATCGATTACCTTTACGATACCGGCTACAATGTTTTCCGCGTTTAAAGTCTTCGATGCACTTCAACCTTTGGTGAACATTCGATTCCTATTTATTAAAATTGTTGCTCGCTAGTGCGTGTAGGGATGCCATAGCGCTCACCTTCCAATCTTTAAGGTTCGATCCTGCGGTCATCGGCTTGATGAAAACCTCCTCGGGTCTAAGTCTGCCAAGTCAGTCTTCTCTCAAGAGAATACTAGAGCCATGTGAAATGTGATTTCAACTACCCCGAGAACTCTCCAGAATCAAGTCTACTGTGAATATTACACCCCTTCATTGTGACACAATGCTAGACTCTTCTAACCGACTTGGGGCGAGTGGAATTATCGTAGAAAGTACTTGTTTGCATGTGTTTTATGGGGTTACAGAACACGTTCCTGTGGAGCTTGTACGGGCCTCGGGTACCACTGATTAAATAGATCAAATTGGGGCGGAGGACAGATGCTGATTCCTAATACTATGACCGGAATGCTTACGTTAGTTTGTTAGCATGACTGCTTGTTGCGCGTGATTTGGAGATACTTTGCGATCGAATTCATTCCGATTGGGTCTTGGATTCGGCCACCCGGACCTGTTCTGTGTTTTGACCGATTTCACATTATTTACATAGACCGTCTTTATGTGACGCTGAACGAGACCATTTTTCCACACCGGCCGATTACTTATGTATACAGCAATCAAGTGTTAATCACATAGTCATACGCGAATCCTTTCAGTTTTATGTCTTCATTTCTACTGAAATTCTATGCCTTCGAATATAATAAGTTACACACGTTGTACGCAGTACGCAGGTGTGAAATTATTCGGTGTATTATTCGGTCTCAATGGTCTGGATTTTGGAGCTGGTTAGTCTCAAGAGACCGGGATTCTCAGCCACCCGACCTGGGAGGCCCGGATCCCTAGCTATCGGGTCCCAAAAACTGCCGCCATGGCCTCTGAGGACATGATGGCCACTTTGAACCCTCTCTCAGTTTACTTTATGCACTTCTTTTCATATCAATTCATTCCTCCATCGTATCAGACACAACAGCAGGGATTGAACTAGTCGGGTGAGGTGTCAAAGCTACTTCCTAAAAGACTGAAGCTTGGTTAACTTCTACGACCAGCGCGTCGTCAAGAAGCCCGCTTGGGGAGGTGGTGTCTTCTAAATCTCGACGTTACCCCACTCTACATGTGAATCTAGAAGCTTGGATACTGTTGAACTGTGGGCGACTTTTGAGGTCGCCTCCAAGAGCCGGCGGCGATGGCCTTACATACATGATGAGGGCAAGCAGTTCAACAAAAATAGTTCTCAAGCAGAGACTTTTTTGCTTCTCATGCAATCCCAGTGACAAAGAGGATACGGTTACCAAGCCCAATAAGTTGCTTCTTTTCCCCTCGTAGGTTAGGTGACCAGGGGATGAATCGCATCCTGAAGTAAGCTTGAAGGATTGAGATAGCATCTGTTGATTGGCATGCAATTCATTGCAACTAATGCCTCCTCCAAAACAAGGCACTGAGGTTCAGAGTGGTCTAAAATGCCTCTACGTTGTGTGTCTTGGCTATGCTAATACACAGATTCTCATTGCCTAACTCAATGAGGTTCAATGAAGATGCCCGGTTCGTCCCAGGACAGCAATCCAGCAAGCATAAACGAAGAGTTCATGAAATCGCTGTCCATCATGAAGTCAACACCTTGGGTTGACGTGACATCGGTGTTTTGAAATGACTCGGCGGTTGATGTGTGGAAGAGATCATGTGCTGTACCTTCGCCCTCGGCACTCGTGGAAGCAAGGTCCGGCTGATATCTGCTCTGTATCGATGGTATGCCCGGGTGCAGGGTGTGACTTATTGGCTCGCCATTCTTCCCGTCACCGGCAATTTGAGATAGAGATTCCAGGCGCACCAAAATCGCAGCGAGAAGGCGTGCCTGGATACCAACTGGGCTTCCCGGCAAAGCCATCCCGTCCAGAGATTGAGAGTTATGCGAGTCTGCCATATGAAGAGAGCTAGCCGCGGTTGAATATAGACGGCTCACTGCAGTAAGTACTCCAAACGCTTCGTGCGTCGAGCCAGGTGTTAGATGACCAGGCTGGCTGGAAAGCTTGAGGACCATCATCGCCGAATAGGCTGTCATTAGATGTGCAGTGTCCCAAAGAAAGTACAAAATATCCAGTTTTCCCATCTCGGTCAACTGTCGCAGCACCCCCAAGGCACATGAGAAGCAGAGTTGGATCGTTCTTGCCACTCCACTATCGAGAGAGGTGTTGTTGGACTCGTTGGTAACTAAAATCCGATCCAACAGAACAGAATTGAAGTACAGCTGCGTGTAATCTCGCAAGAAGTAGAGAATGGGCATCTGAAAGAGTTCAGGACGGGGAACTAGACGCAAGGTCAGCGAGATAAGTGTAACAAGGCCAACGTTACGACTTACATTCCAGAAACTTTGAGCACCAATGTTGAGTCCATTCGATCAGTGCCACGTTCAAAGTTTCCAGATGCTTTCTAAATGATTCGAAGCTCACAGGCGTCGAAGAAGGGCCTGCTTTCTGTCGAGATTCCGCCATGGCATCAAGAATTGGACAGGTGATTTGCGTCAACTCGAAAATTGCGACAGCCTTTCCGTCCCCCAATGGGAATGTCCATTTCTCAAGCGATAACCAACTTCGAGCCCCTATCTCTTTGTTGATCATTTGGAGAGCAACCGGTCGATCTGTGAAGAGGCTCGACCTATGTCATCAGTAAGGTTATGATGTATCCAGGAACTCGTTCGATAAGTCAGCAACTTACGCCCGATCTAGGTTGCCCAATGCCAGCCAAACGCGTTCCTTGTCTCGCTGTTGCCGAATTTGCGCCTCTGTCTGTGCTGTAACCAAAGGCGTATTTTCAGGCACCATGCTTCCCTGGAACTTATTCCACTTAGCAGAAGCTGCCATTCGAGTGGCGAATCCCAGCAAGGTGTAGCCCCGGGTATCATTCACGTCTTTCCAGTGGTACACACACACAATCGCCCAGATATTCTCGACAGTGGCGTCGCATGCAAGCAACGCTTGAGCCAGGAGTGTCCCTGAATGTTTTTGGATTGATTCGTATGATTCCGGTTGGAATACTCTTGCCGATATGGCTAGGATTGTGCTAAGGAGCAAGCTAGACGTCTCACGTGTATATGAGAACGTGTAGAGTTGAGGGTCTAGAAGGCCAACAAGAGGGTTGAAATGTTTGAAGAATCTATGGATCTAAAGTTAGTTCGCACAGCATGGCGGTTTCAGGATTTGAGATAGTGGAGTTCCTACCCTTCGAAAAGATATTCGGCCGAGGGTCGACTGATAAGTCGAAGGTTAATAGGGTCATCGCTACCCCACGATGTTCCTTCGGTTGGGTTAGTGTCTAAGGATTTGTCGTTCTTTGTGGCTGCGTTCAGAATCCGTTTCTCGGGATCAAGAGCTGTGTTGAGAGAAAGCCCTCGAGTATCCTCCGAAAGTGTGATGAGTGATTGAGCTACGAACGAGGCCGTTTTCATCTCTGACTGAGTCCGATGTGGTTCAAAAGGCAAGGCTTGACTCATGGGCACGATGGCATGCTCGCCCAAGAATACGTTACCGTTACCGCCTCTTGGGACTTGTCCTGGCAGTGGCATGGCAAGAGGCGCCGTGCTGTCCCTCGTCTCTGACAGTTGTCCAGGAGGTGGATAGGTATTATCATCGCTGGAGCCCTGGTTGTGATCTCGTAGTCTGCAACGCCTCGTTAGCCCAAGACACACAAGGCCAGGTGGTAGGATGGCTATGCCAACATCTTTGGTATACCTTTCGTCCAACTGCTCTCGACGCCATAGACCCCGGCGATGTGGCTCGTATACACAATCCCTTCCTAACCTGACGCAGCGGTCGCAGCGCCCTATTTCTAGACTTGATTGTACACATTTCATCTTCGCTCGGCGACATGTTGTACATGCAATGCCGTACGGTCTAGCTCAGCGTTAGAGATGGTGTCGCAATCTCAATATGCCTGCTCACCTCCGAGTTTTCGTAAAGGCCGCTTCACGATTGGCCCCATCATCCCGTGCGGCCGACATTTGTGGCCGTCCCCTTGTCTGTGCCTTGTTTGCGAGGAATCTCTTGGGTTGAAATGAATACTCTGCCCAGCAGCATGTGTCGCGTATTGCGCCGTTGCAACTTGGAAAGTGCGACGCCCTCCCTGTGAATGGTGCGTGTGGCAAGGCAGCGATGTCGGCAGAAACCAGTAGAATCGAAATGATTACTAATCAACATATTAGAGTCGGCGACTGATAGGTGGGCGCCCAGGCGCCTATATATCTTTAGGCACTTAGATATATCTATTAATTAATTTTAATAAAATATTTATTTACTATATTTTAATTTATTTATTAAAGCTTACAGTCTTTTTATACTTATTTATATAGTAATTAATAGAGTGCTATACTATTTTAATATAGGTATTATAAGCTTATAGATACTGTACTTTTTATGCTTTTTATTAATTTAAATCCTACTTATTAGTGCACTTTTATATACTAGAATTCTGCTGCAATTTTACTAGCTACTTATTAGTATTATAAAGCTGGCTATTTACTAATTTTATTTTAAGGTTAATTATAAAAACTCTTATTAGTATTTTTAATTATTATTATTTACTTTTTACCTTACTACTGAGTGAGGGAGTGAGCAGAGGACACTAAGAACACATAACCCACCCAGAGGCAGAGCTGTGATAACTGCGATAGTGTTATGTCGGAAAGGTCGGATAGAGTTAGGTTTGGGGTCCGGATAAATCGGACAGCCGGGCAAAATAGATAGCTTTTTCAGCTGATACCGTTTGATCAAATAGACCTTGGATAGGTCACTAAAGGATAGGTTAAAAGACTGTTAATTGGAAAAAAAATAATAAGATGCCAGAAGGATGATGCTTGTGTGTATCTGGAAGGTCCTGTCCGAGACCTTCCCAATTTATAGCCCCAGTAGGTCTGGCTACTGGTTCTACCTGATGCAGTACTTCCTGTTAAAGGAACTTACTAATTCTAGCCCTAGCAGCTGCAAGTATCCGATTAGATAACCTTTATTTCTAAAGACTGGAAAGCCCCGACTTACTTTTAAAAAAAATATTAAAAAAGCTAGCTATTTATAGAAAAATTAAATAGCTATACTATTAAAAGAAAAATTAGCTAATTATATAGTTAAAAGGTTAAATAACTAGGCTATTAAAAAGTTAGATTGCTATTAATAAATTATAATAAATCTATTTTAATAAATCTATTAAAATTATATATAAATAAAAATTATATTATTAATAGTAAAAAGTAAGGTTTTATTAAAATTAAAAAGTTAAAATTAAAAAAATTTTAATATATATAATAAGCTTATATTTTATATAAATATATATTCTACTTATATTATATATTTAAAAACTCTAATTTTTAATTTTTTAAAATAAGTTATATAATTTTGGAATTTTTAAAAAACTTTTAAAAAATTATAGTTTAAAATATAAAACTTATATAAAATATATACTTTTATAAAATATAAGCTTATTATATATATTATTAATAAATAAGAAGCTTTAATAGTATATATATTTAAAAAAAGAAAATTAAAAGCTTGAAAATATATAAATTAATAATAATAATAAATTAATAATAATATAAATTAAATATTTAATTTATTAATTTAATAATAAACTTAATAAGAATAAAAGTTTCTATTTTAAAATAACTTTTAATAATATCTTAATATAGTTAAATTATAAAAAAGATAAAAATTAATATTTTATAAATATTACTTTTTATATTTTAACTAGCTATTATATTTTTTTATAATATTTTAACTAGCTATTATATCTTTTTTACTATATTTTATAATAGTTAAGCTTATATTAAAAGTATCTAAAATAAGCCTAAGGTATTATTAAAAAAAATATAAAGTATACTGCAGTATACTTATAATAGTTATATCTTCTAGTTTGCTATAGGTATAATCTAGAGTAGATAGAAGGCAGGTTGCTAGTGGATAAACTATAAGTTTATATTAGCAGAGTAGTTAGGGTATTACTTATAGGATAATATTATATTTAGTAATAGTTAAGTATAATAATATATAGTAAGTTAAGATAATTAAGGTAACTAAGTTATATTAATAGCTAAGTAGCTGCCTATTAGAAATATATATTACTCTATTATCTATATATTTAGATAGATTGCTAGATTGTATAAGTAATCTAGTAATTTAAGATTATAGAATTATAAAGGTAATTCTATAATTCTATTTTAGTTAGTTAAAAATTATAGGTATTAAAATTCTACTAGTTCTAACTGCCTGCTATCTACTTAAGGTATATATAGGTTATAATATAATATCTCCCCTCTATTAGTTCTTATCTCTAAGGCCTGTTATAAGACTATTCCCTTAATTTTATATATATATTTAATCTAAATCTATAAATATTCTGCTAATTATTATATTAGATTGTATTTCTAAATCTATTAAGACTGAGTAATATTCCATTCTTATATAAGTTATTACCTTTAAGAGTTATAAAATTATATCTTATTCCTACTACTTTAAAAAGTAGTTAGTTTGCTATATATCTAAGAAGTTCTTATAGTATAGTAAATATATAAGCTTGAGTTATTTTTATAATAGTTTTAATATTACTAGTTTTTATAAGTAATTCGGCGTATTCTATTATTCTTTTTAATATTAAATTCTATAGTAACTAAGAATATAGAGGCTTAGTAAAAAGTCAATCTAAATATTAAGAAAGCCGAGAGTATCTTAATTAAGATATTAGTCTATTTAGTATATTTTTATAAATAAAAGAAAATATTAAAGAAGTATAATTCTAATTTATTTATTTAAGGAATCTGGAAACTGGATAATATTAATAGGGTATGTTTTTAAGAGTCTGCTATTTTTAAGAAGTAATAGGCTATTAGGGAGATACAGGCTGCTAGTGCTATAGATATATTAGACTGGTTTTCTATACTGAATATATTACTTAATTTATCTCTATTAGGTTTTATTATTACTAGTAAGGGTTCTTTATAATTTCTAGGTATTATTTCTAGAATTTATTTTAATATATATTTTCTAGGGTATTTTTTTATTTAAGGAAGTTTTTTAATTTAGCTTAATAGTATATAAGATATTTATAGAGTTTTTATATATTTTTTAAGGAATTGCAGTTTTTCTATTTTATAAGATATTTTATTTTATTATTTTCTCTTTTATATTAAGGATTATCTTAACTATAAATTTCTAGTTATTTTTAATTTCTATTTTTTAATTATTATTCTATATCTTAATATAGATAGTATTAGCTGCTAATTTAAGTAAGAAAATATAAAAGATTGGATAGAGCTTAACTTTTAGTAGTAAGTTTAGTTTGTAGTTATTTTTCGAGATTTTTTTTTAAAATTTTATAAGATTTAATAAATTTGAACTCTAATTTGTTATTTAGCCTTTTTATTATAATGTTTTTTATTGTAAGGTAAACTATATCTCCCTTCTAGAAGATTAGTCTCTTTAATCTTTTCTAGTTGTAATATTTTTTTATTTATTTTCTGATAAATTCCAGTTCTATTTTTATTTCTTTATATAGTTATTATAGTTAATTGGTATTAAGAATTACCTTAGTATTTAAGAGTTCTTTTTATAATAATCTATAGGTATTAGAGGTGAATTTAAAATTAGTATAAGCTGGTATAAGTTTTATTGTTTTTAAGGTGGATATATTATAGGCTAGTTATACTATAAGCAGCCTCTAAACTTAATTATTTTACTTATAGTTAATATAGTATTATAGATACTATTCTACTATTTAATTAAATCTTTCTATTTATCTATTTACTTATAATTTCTAAGCTATTATAAGCTTATAATTTAATTCTATTTAAGCTATTAGTCCTTATTAGAACTTAGATATAAAGGTTATTCCTCTATTAGATATAATCTCCCTTAGTAATCTATATATACTAATAATATTTCTTAAGAATATATAAGAAAGTTATTCTATATTAATAGACTTTTAGTAGGGTAGGAAGTATATAAACTTTATAAGCCTATTTATAATAATAAATATACTGTTATAGAGTACTTAGTTATTAGATTTTTAGATAGTAGAAGCTTAGTAATATAGTCTATAGTAATAGATTTCTAAGGTTATTATATTACTAGTAGTAGTTATAGTTATTTATAAGGC